CTGCACTAAAGATGCTCTCCAGTTCAGAAAGCTAGTGCTCTCTGGGTCATGAATCGGGCCATCTGCCGCTTCCACCCAGACACCGGTAAAAAGGTAAGAAAGCACACAAGGCTCTGGTCCTACCCACTTTTATTGGCAATACCTGCTGTGGTCACAGGCAGGAATACTAACTACAGACTGTACAATAACTAACTTTAGACTGTTGGATTCTTGATTGCTTCCCTATCTTAGTTCTCAGGACATGACCAGGAAGCAAACAGCTGGCAAGAGCTAACACATTCACATTGATTTTTTTTTTAAAAGTTACTTATTAAAATGTTTGAGATACAGATTATATTTCTTTGGTTGATTTATTATTGCTTTTCTTGTCATGAAATGGGAGCTGGAAGCATTTTCATACACAGATTGGAAGGCTGCCCACTTCCACTGTCGCTTTAGTAAGTGCACCTATTATTGAAATACTATTTTTGCACTTAATATTCTCTGATAAACCACACCAGATGTCTTATGCCTCTTACAACAGCAGCATATGGGCTCCAGCAGAAAGGACACCACGGTCCCAAAGTTGCTGTGTCAGCATAATGGCCCTTTCTCCACCAATGCTAACCAATCCTGCTCTTTAAGTTTAGGTGCTGCAGACTGCCTGGCTCAACTAAATCCAGCCTGTGGAAAAGATCACAATATAAAAGCCTTTAAGCTATCCAAATGAAGCACAGTGGAAGCCATGGTCTCTTAGCCTGATACATCTCCCTGGAACCTCCCAGTGAGGGAGGTGCCAGTCTATGACAAACCAAACAATTGTCAAATCTGATATCCAGTTGTGGCACATGTAACTTGCAGCCTTGGCAGTACAAGAATATAAACCCAGACATTACGTATCTGAAACCAGCTAGGAGCAAGCTGATGCAAGAAGTCTCTTACCACAAATCAAGTTACAATTACCAATGCATGCTCTATTAGCAATTGTGGCTTGGTGTGTGATAAGAGACTTTCCAGGCATTCACATGTTTCACCATACCAGAGTCTCAAACTAACTGAAGCACAGCATAGAATCTACCTCTACCAGCTGCCAAATGGCACATGCCAAAGCACCTTCAAAGAGAAAGATAAAAGGCTCACTCAGGCATCAAACCTGCAGGCATAGGAAACAAAAGCCCCACAAACATACAGACCTTCGAGAACAACCTAGATCCACATCCCTGAAATCCTTGAGGGCCAGACCCATTCAAAGCAGTCAGGCTGAGGTGTGGGGGAGCACACATCCCAGCACAGAGACTATGAAAAGATATGCTCCTCCCTGCTAGTTTCTGTCCATCTCTCTGGAAAACTGTCTCTGAAGAAGCCAAGGGGGGTTAGTGTCAATTTGTTGAGCCAACCCAGAGCTCCTGTTGGTGGTAACAATGCTGCTCTCCCTCTGCTTCCCTAATAAAAAGTGGTTTGTTTCCACTTCCTGACTGGGCAGTTAATCCTGCACTTGGAACTTGGGAAAGGGATGCTGCAAAACGATCAGAGAGAGGAGAACGCAGTTTGCCATGCAGCCAATATTGAACTGTTTACTGTGGAGTCACAGAGATTAAATTGAGCCGGCAATTGTTTCCAACATCTAAGCAGACAAAAGACTCCATACACAACCAATGGAGTTTAGTGATGCTGGGGAATGAAAATAGGGGAAGTTTATGCACTGACCTCCCAGAACCTCTGGTACGGTATATGTCACATAGTCTATAGGATACACACAGGCCTTGTTAAAACTACACTGATGCCAGGTCTACGCTACATATTTCTGCGGGTATATTGGTCAGGGGTGTCCTTTTGCCAGTCCTGCATAGCTTATTTCACCCAGGAGTGGTAGAATAAGCTATGCCAGCTAAAGTGATTAGTTTTGCTTTGCCAGCGTAGTATACCAATACAGCTCTAGCGGCACAGCAATCCTAGTGCAGCTACCAAGAGGTAAGCTCACCAAGGTCAACTCAGGTGGAAATGGTGTGCAAGACTTCGTCAAGTTGACCTCACGGTAAAACTAAAGCGCCTTGTGTTCCCTGTGTTTTTATCTTAGGATAGCTCATGCATGTCACCCCAAGGCAAAAAGACACCTTTTTTAGCAGCAAAGAAAAGGCCTTTGTTATAGCCAAGCCTCAAACCATGGCAGAGGCTCATATGGATGGCAGACCCGACATGTGTTAGCTCCAGGAATACACTGCTTAATTACGACTGAGCCAATGATATGATGGGTGTGGTTAATTAGTACTGTCAGTTCAGAATGTCTGCGTATGTAGTCACAGTATAGCATCAATGCACCAAACACTGAAAACAACAATCCCTTTCTGACCCTTTTTTACCCCAGTACAATTCCTGCCTACTAGTTACACCCCAATCCAACAAACCACTGGCCCTGGCAGCAAGCTGCTCCTGGACTAAGACTCCTTTACGGTGTCCCACCCCCATTCCCTAGTCCAAATGCAGCCAAGTTTCCCAAGCAATTTGCAACTCCTAGCTGCAGATTTTCGTGTTTAATCAGCTCTTTTCTGTGCTTAGCTGTCACACTCCCAGCACAGTTCTCTCCACCTCCCATGACCTGATTAGCTTGTCAATTTCATTCGGAATTTAAAATTCCTATTAACTGCCACTGAACAGGCCCTCTTGGGGTACACGGGCAGGTGAGCATAGCTTGTCTAGCCACGCCTCAGAAGGGAAAGAGATGCTTGAAAGTCAAGCTGTAACCCTAGAAAATCTTCCTGAGTTGCTCTGTTACTCCTGACTAGCATATCTGGTGCAATTTGTGACAACCACAGGTCACACTAGGACCACTAAGCATCAGATCAAACCATCAGGTAAGCTGAGAGGCAGGTTTGATGGCCACCAAGAACCACAAAATAAAGAAAAAATAATTATTTAAAAGACGTCTGATCTATCAACTAGTTGACACGAAATCTGTATAGAGCAACTATTCAAATAGTGATTGCACTTCTGCAGAAATATCCAGGGAGAACGCAGCCCATGCAGGAATGATGAATAATCCGCTTCTTACAACTGGCTTTGTCATCAGCAGAGTTTGCTGAACAGAAACTAATCAGCACTTCCTCACAATTACTGCTAATGCCAGTGTTCCCAAACTCTGGCCTGTGGGCTCCTAGGGGTCTCTATAACCTTCAGCTGGAATGATGCCTCCCTGCCCAGGTAGACAGACATGCACTAGCTCTGCATGAGCGAGAGCTCTAAAAGTAGCAGTGTGGATGTTACGGCTCAGGCTTACCCCTCCCTCATCGCACCCTCAGTACAAGCCCACGCAAACCCCTAGGTCCAAACTCAGATGGCTAGCCCATGCCGCTGCTTGTGCCATAACATCAACACTTCTACTTTTAGCATGCTAGCTCAACTTGAACTAGTGTATGCCTGTGTACCCAGGCTGGGAGGTATGCTCCCAGCCACAGCGTAGGGGAACCCTGGGAATCTGCAGAGTGCTGAGAGATCACATGCTGTTGGCTTTCTTTGTCTCCAACTGCTTCTATGAGCATCCAGGCTCTTAAGTGGAAGGAAGAGCAAAAGGCAATTGGAATCCATCAGCCAGCCTAGCTGTCCCCCTGGGGCCCACTGCTACATAGATGGAGGAGGTGAAGGAGCCACCTTCAGGGACTGGAGCCATCAGTGAAACTGCAGCTGCTAGGGACCAGTAGGAGATAGAAACAAGGGCGGTATGCCCAGGGGAGAAGAGAACCAAGCATCAGGGAAAGGTACCAGAGAGCAGAGAACCATGGGCAAGAGAGAGGAAAAGTTGAGTCAGGGTAACCAGGCTGATTGATTTTAACAAAAACTGGACAAAAGACTTATTGCACTAATGACACCAAAAATACACTAAACATTTCCCTAATGTCACTTCACCATGGAAGCAACTGCCATGGGCACATTAAGTGATCAGGAATGGGAGAAAAGGTGGTTTCCTCAACTGTGAATGGAAAGAAGAGCATCCAAGAGACATCTACCGAGATGTGCTCCAGCTTACTAAATAAGTTTGAGAACCCTTGGCTTACACAATTGTAAGTCCACATCCCAAAGTCCACTCAGGCCTTTACCTGAGTAAAGACTGCAGATTGTGGCCTTAGAGAACTGTTGATGTCCAATCAATGAACTCACTTGCTAACAAAAGCTTTCTTCCCCTACTACCAACCACCAGATGTCTGAACTGAACATGCCGTGGTAGAGAATTAAGGTGAAGAATGTTTGCAGAATGATCCTTAAATTCAATTTTAAAAAGTGGTGTCAAGAGGTAAAATGTAATGGGAGTAATAAGAAAATCTGTCTCCTTTAAACAGATGCAAAGATGCTGAGTGCACATAAATTAGCAGCTGTTTTCATGGATGAATTTTAAGTTCTGGAGAGGTTCCCATTTAGCTAACAGGCCAGGATACAAGTGTGGCAGTTTAAAAAAAATAAATCCCAAAATACTGCACTTTGATAAAGAACCTGTTATCAGTGTGCCTATTCCTGTCAGACACCAATGTCAAGGGAATGACTGTAATAAAGGGAAATTGCCTTTTACAAATATATATTTAATAGCTCGTAATGTTCAGCCCACACAGCCACCTCAATTTGTGAGAGAAGACTGCTCAGTGAATTCGGTTCTGCTGGAAGTGTCATTTCAAAATAAGTTACTTATATGTATGAAACTCAGTGTCAGTTGATGCCACATATGAAGTGTATATGCACTCAGGTATTAATAGCGCAGCGCACATTTTATAAGCTATGTAAATTAGGGTGGTCCTCCAGAGTTAATGTATCCTCAGAGCTGCAAAGTTTCCTCTGATTTTTCCACACAGAGAATGAAAACCAGCCAAACTCCAGCATCAGCCCTCCCCATCAATTACATGATGCAACCCTGTTGTATTTATTAAAAACCAACCTTTCTGAAACTTGGGTGCCTTAACTTAGGCCCCTAAAAATCCATATGTTGTCATCAAATTAAAGTGACCTGATTTTCACAGATCATTTGTTTTTGAACCTACCTTTAAGCACCCAAATGTGAAACCTGAATTTTGAGGGTATGCACATCAACAGTGAACCGTGATTCCAGCAAGACTTCCTGTGTCCAATCAGATCAGAACTGGATTCAGTTCCCTGCGCACAAACACAGGTAAGAGTGACTACTCCAGCTCACCAGATTAAATCCAGCATCTTCAGATGTGCTAGCCCAGCAGGCACTGGGCTGCTCAATGGGATCAGAATTCAGGTTTATAACACAGTCCATTTCTGGCTGGCAGAAGCCGAGGACACACTTTCTGTCTCATTGATATCACACACTGCTTTCCATTGACACAGTGATGAGGCATTCTCCAGGCATTTAACACAAGTTGTCCAAACAATAAGACAGCTGCCCCTCAAACCCTCGTTGCAACGATGGACAGAAAGTAGTCCAGTTTGGAGCCTGGTCTCGCCATTACTCCAAGGCAGTGGTCACCAATCGGTCGATTGCGGTTGACTGGTCGATCCTGGAGACTCTCCCAGTCGATCGCAATCTCCGGCCGCTAAAAGCCTGGCGGGCTCCCTGCCTGCCCCGGCCCCATGCTGCTCCCGGAAGCAGCCAGCCTGCCTCCGGGGGCGGGAGGCAGGGGAGAAGGGGAAGGGAGGCAGGGGTCTCTGCGCGCTGCTCCTGCCTGCAAGCACCGCCCCCACAGTTCCCATTGGCCGGGAATGGAGAACTGTGGCCAATGGGAGCTGCGGAGGTGGTGCCTGCAGAGGGGGCAGTGCGCGGAACCACGTCCCCTCCCCCAGGGGTGCGTTGGCCCCTTCCAGGAGCAACATAGGGCCAGAGCAGGCAGGGAGCCTGCCTTAGGCCTTGTCTACACTGCCACTTACAGCGCTGAAACTTTCTTTGCTCAGAGGTGTGAAAAAACAACTCCCTGAGCGATGCAAGTTTCAGCGCTGTAAAGTGGCAGCATAGATAGTGTTCCCAGCGCCGGTAGCTCCACCTTGCGGAGGTGGTTTATTACAGCACTGGGAGAGCTCTCCCCAGTGCTGGAGCTGCAACTACACAGCCATATCAAAGCACTGCCATGGCAGCGCTTTAACTTCGGCTGTGTAGACGTACCCTTAGCCTCACTGCGCAGCTGCCTGGGATCCGCCTGAGGTAAGTGCCGCCCGGTGGGAGCCCGCACCCCAACCCCCAGCACCGAGTCCCCTCCGAGAGCCAGGCTCCCATACCGCCTCCTGCACCCCAACACTCTGCCCCAGCCCAGAGCCCCCTCCACCACCCAAAACTCCCTCCGAGAGCTTGCACCCTGCCCCTCCTTCTGAATCCCAACCTCCTGCCCCAGGCTCAGCCCAGAGCCCCCTCCCACACTCCAAACCCCTGGGCCCCAGCCCAGAGCCTGCACCCTGTCCCAAACCGCAACCCCCTGCCCCAGCCTGGTGAAAGCGAGTGAGAGTCGGGGAGAGTGAGCGACGGACAGGAGAGGATGGCGTGAGCAGGGCGGGGCCTTACGGAAGCAGAGGGGTAGATCCTGGGTTGCACTTAAATTCAAAAAGTGATCTTGTGCGTAACAAAGTTGGAGACCACTGGTCCAAGGCATTTGGGCTGCACCTTTCTCCTGGCAAATAACAGAGACAGTTCAGACTTGTCAGTGTGGCTCCAGGGCTAGGCCATGCTCGTTCCCCATCCAAACCCCAGATTTTCTGCCTCCAGCAGTGCAAAAAAAGCAGACTCTAGGACTCCCACCTTGCCTAACCACTGGCATTCCAATTTTTAAAGTTTCTTGGAGGCAGCAGTGAGCCCCCTTCCTCTTTGGAGGTCCAACATCCCCGAGGCTTTACTCCCCAAACAAAACTACCTGCCAAGCTCCTTCTCCATCATGGTCAAGATTAAAAATGAAAGTGGTCAGACTGGCCCTTCAAGATTTCCAGGACAGCTGAGGAAGGAGCACATCCTGATTCAATCACACAGGATGACCATGGGATACATAAACTAGCAAGAGGACACAAAAAGCTCAAGTCCAAAGTGATGCAGATTCTCTTCTGATTAGAGGTCACCTAGCCTCCATCAGGGCACCTCACACAGAAGGGACACTGAACACTAAAGCAGACTGGCAAAGCCATGAACTGACAGGTAACTGAGAATGGTTCCCGAACAAAGAAGTATTCCAGCTGATATCCAAGGGGCCAGACTGCTCCCATGTGGACCCATCTTCATGCAGTCAAAATGCAAAAACTAAGCTCATGTTCACGAGAGCAGACATCACTGGGAACAAATGCTCTGGTTCACAAATGGACATATCTCTTATGTGCCCTCCTTGTCCCCAGGTCGGCTTTTGCATCCCAAACCAGGTTACACAAGTCTGACAATTGGTTACTGAGCAGCAACAGATGGAATATTCTTCCAGTGTAATAGATACACTCCAAACTCTCTATCCTCCTGAACCTCACAGGATATGGCCAAAACTCTTACTAGTGTCAAGACCCAGGAAACCAAACATCCCAGTTCCGCTGGATTTCTTACAGAACAGCCGAGACCTCCCCTCGCTGCATCTCACATCTCAGAGCTAAAGTGTCCTGAACACAAGCTGATCCAATCTGTAGCAGATATTAGGGTTCCCTTGGGTGGTGGCAGGATATCTGTCCAAACCAACAGTCAGGCCTATCTGCCTGGCCTGGAACCTGCACCAGAGTAACAAGCTCTCGCAACCATCCATTCAAACAATGGCATCTAGGTGTCTGTATTTCCAATCCTTGAAGATATAGCTCCCGGTTACAATCCCACTAGCTAGAAGAGTCTCTAAAATATCTGCTCTTAAAAGACCAGAGCCTTACTGGGCATCCTAAGAGCCTAAGGTAGTTCTTTTATACTCATTCACTACCCAGGAAAATTCTTCCTTCCACACATGCCAGGAGATTATTCTTCCTGAGTTTTCCCCAAAGCCTAACCAACCAGAAGAAAAACCATAAACTGTGGGATATTAGATGTGAGAAGACCAGCTAGGGGGATCGAGTGCAGCATCAGCAAAATGTATGCAGATCCAGACTGATCTCAGAAGGCATTGTGCCTACTCCACATGTTCTCCAGCAGCCTTCTGGGCAGAAAGACTGACGGTCACCAGAAGAACTCTGTAAAGTGGCAACCAGGTCACTCATTTTCAAACCCTTTATTCAAGCACTACAGGCTCAACCTCCTATCCTTCACAGAAGCATCCTTCTGCAGGAAGGTGATCCAAGTGGCAATTCCAACATTAGATTAATAATAATTAGATTAATTCTAGAGAAGAGAGAACCTTCTTCTGTTTTATTCATCTCTCTCCCTGACTATTTTTTTTTTTTAAACTGGTCACTACATATCTGGGACTGGGAAAGAGCTCAGGATTCAGAAGGGAAAGTTTGTTACCTAACCATGATTTCCCTTCTGGGACTGATCTCTCCCTAGATCTCCCCTTCCCGAGGTAAACTCTTCAGGTATGTCTCGGAGGACATCTTCCTGGGACCACGTATATAGTTATCCCAGTTGAACAAGCATTGCCTTAAAAAGTTAAAATGTAAGACAAATAGTGTTTTGATACAGCTGTGGAAATAATCATCTGGCATGCAGTCAGAAGGGTCATGGCCAAATCTTGGTGCCCTGTGGACAACCCAGAACTGCCTTGGATACCTCCCAAATGTCACAGATGGGGAAAGATGTCAATCCCAGAAAGTTATTCAAGGAGCAATTTTTCCAGAATCACCCTTAGAGAAGTTGGAGGCAATGGCTTGTTATGGCAAACACACCTGGGGATCTTCATTGTTTTCTAGCAAGAAACATGGTGACAGTTTTATTGGGGCTAAAGAGCCGTTGAACTCCTGCTCCACACTTCTATTTGTCAATCTTTATGTAGCTAATATTTACAAGAGATAGAGAACACAGAGGTAACTGTGTACACAAGGCTGCCCACGAGGCCATCCCTTTTTGCAACAATTAAGATTTTCTGCTATAACCAGGAATTAATTTTCCAGACTACTCAGGACTCTGTTTGCCATCAAATAAACTGGACACATTAGCACAATTTTCACTCTATCCAAGCTGGACCATCCTACAGTTCATATTAATAACATAGGTAAAATGTTCCAATCAGAAACATCCGAGGAGACAAATCTATTTTAGTTATGTGAGTGCAACGTAAGTACATAGCTACACAAATGAAAAGGGGAATTTTGTATTTTGTATTTTTTTTAACTGAACAAGGACAAGCTATCCCAAATTAATGAAAAGTTTCTGATCTCCAATTTGTATTGTTAACTGATCACTTGAGAAACACAACTCTAACCACAACAAGTGAATACTACAACATATAAAACATTCTGCCCAGAGACAGGCACAGAAATCACTTTCATCGGTATAAAACCACAACAATTCCTTGACTAGCAGAGTTCAATGTGCACTGCAGAGGCAGCATGCTCAAGCGAGCTGAGAGGAGCGGGAGGAGGAAGACATAGCCTCACCAGCAAATTCTGATTAAGGAACAAGGGACCGTAAGAGCCCTATTTAGGCAGAAGAATGGTGGCTGGAATATGGCACAATGTGGGAGGAAGCTGTGAAGTTGGATCCTTCCTTAGGGTTTCAGCAAGGTGTTGCCTGTTCCAACTGCCTTCACCTACCTACCAACAGATTTGTGATACTTAGTTCAAGCTTTTCAGGCCACCCCCCCGCCCGGTAAAAATTCTCTCGTGAAGAATAGACTGAGCTAACTCCCAAACCTGCCCTTTTCTTTGCGGTAATAGAAATAGTATTTTTAATGACTCACTGGAACTAAGTGCATTTGACATCATGAGCGTATTTGTGTATCCTAGCAACCATCTGACAGCAAACATTTTGCAGGCCTTTCCCCTTCTCCAAACACAGCAGTGAGGATGGATTCCAGGGCATTCTCAATAAGACAACTAGTTTTGGCAAGTAATATATATATATATATATATAAAAAGACAATCCAACCCCATTACCCACCTTCCTCCCTGGCCCAAAAGTTTGCCTTCACCAAGAAAAGTAATCCTGCTGAAAGTGGGTTTTCACTCGTTGGTTTAGTGGACATAATGGTGACTGGCCAGTGGAGACAAATCACATTCAGCATCATAAAAGATAATCATTGGGAAAATCTACTAGGAGCAGGTTTTACCTACAACTAGCTGACACAATGCTGAATGCAACTTGTCTCTAGCCACACTGAACACTCAGGTGTAGTCAGCATCACGTCTGCTACCCAGAACACTGAAATCACATGCAACAAGGATTATACATTCTAGGGAATATGATCCCCCTGCTCCTCCCAACTGTCGCATCATCCATGTGGACCCTGCACCTCATTTTATTCACTGTGTCTGTCAGCCCATGGGGACCATGCACTCCATATACCCTCACAGGGACCCCACGCCGCCAGCCTCCGCACCCCCCATCAATCATTGCACCCCCCCCAAGACCCCACACCCCCGGGCTCCAAACACCCCATCAGCCACTGCACCCCCACACTGGGAGCCCACACCCCCGGGGTCCAAACACCCCATCAGCCTCTGCACCCCCCCGAGACCCCACGCCCCCGGGCTCCAAACACCCCATCAGCCATTGCACCCCCCCGAGACCCCACGCCCCCGGGGCTCCAAACACCCCATCAGCCTCTGCACCCCCACACTGGGAGCCCACACCCCCAGGGCTCCAAACACCCCATCAGCCATTGCACCCCCACACTGGGAGCCCACACCCCCGGGGCTCCAAACACCCCATCAGCCTCTGCACCCCCACACTAGGACCCCACACCCCCCATCCCCCAACCTCTACACCCTCACCAGCCAGGACACCGACCTATGAGGATCCTGTGCCCCACAACCCCCCAGCTTGTGTCCCCCTACCAGGCACTGCCCCACGTCCCCCAACTTCCACACACCTCATCAGTCACCGCGCCCTGCGCCCCGCACGGGGCAGGCGGGGATGGCCCGAGACGCGGCGCCACCGGCCCCGGGGGCCAAGGGCCGCTGCGCTCTGCTCCGGCGGGAGGCTCCGGCAGCGCCGGGTTCAGGGATCCCCGCCCCCACCCGCGGCTGCCCAGGCCTCGCTGGCGAGTGACGAGGCCGTCACTAATCGCAGCCCGTCAGCCAATGGCAGGAGGGGGCGGGACCTGCCCCGTTGTCAATTTACATCCAATCCGGTGAGGTTTGCGGAGCAGGAAACCGCGGACCCATCCGTGGGGCCACCCGCCCCCGTACGCCCCCGGCCGGCCCTGCCCGCGCGGCTCCTCTCCTCTCCTCTCCTCCAAGGCGCCGCTTGCCCCTGAGGAGACCCCGACCCTGAGACACACCCCCAGGCCCTCCCGGCTTCCGTGCCCGCCACAGGGCGTCTCCCCGGCAGCCCCCACCCCGGCGCCCCTCCCGGCTTCCGTCCGCCCGCCGCCGCCCCGGCAGCCCCCCGCTGACACACTCATCCCCAGAGCCGAGGAGCCCGCGCTCCTGCTCCCGAGCAAGCTCCGCGCGCCCCGCAGCGGACACCGGGCCCGGGGCCCGGACTCACCCGGGTGCATCCCCTGTCACGGCAGCAGCATCTCCCCACTCGCGTCCCCCGGCTCCGAAGCCTGCATCATCCGGGCTCCGCGGGGGCGGGGCCGCCGCTGTGACGCCGGCCGACAGGGCGGGGCTTGGGCCGCACATCGCAGCGAGCGGCGGGGCCGCGGCCGAGACTCGCCCGTGTAGGGGGCGGAGCTATGGCTGCGCTTGGCACACGGGGGCGGGGCTAGGAGCCGGCTTCCAGCCGCCAGATCCCCCGCTGCTCGCCCCTGGGGGCGGGGCGGGGCGCGGCGCGGGCCTGGCCTTGCTCCGCCCCGCCCCCGAGGCCGGCGCCGGGGCGGGGACCTGCCGCAGCCCGGGAGTCGGCGGGGCGGGGCCTGGAGCCTGCCGGCGCCCTGCCGCGAGGCAGCCGGGGCTGGGGGCGTTTGCAGCAGAGCTGCCCGGGTGGGTCCGGCGGGGTAACGGGGCGTCGGGCCTGCCTTGTCCTGCGGCTCAGACCGTGATGCCAGGGCCCCTGCTGGCCCGATGGGGAAACCGCTGGGCCCTGGCCCTGCCGGGCGTAAGGGGGCGGGGTGCCAAGGGGGCAATGTGTGGGCCGGTCCCCCTGAGACTGGGTAGCTCTGAGCTGGCCAAGGCTTCGTGAGAACCCCATTAGGGCCTGGCGGGGCCGCAGCTCGCTGCGTCTGGGCCTCGGTCCGCCCGGGTGCCGCAGGGATGATCCAGACACACCGTGGCAACGATTCCCCAGGCCTTGTCTTGGAAGTAAAGGACGTGCAGAAACGAGCTGTGCTTGCAGGTGGAGAGGGGTCTGCTGGGTCGGGGGGATCGAGGAAAGCAGGGCGATTGCCTGGCACCAGAGTACAGCGCCTGGGTGGCCCTGCTCCTGTGCCCCGGGGACTGGGTTCAGATCACCCTTCATGCTTCAGATATCGAAGCAGCAGGGCCGTGACTGAGCAAACGGAGCAGCGCTGCTCAGCGACAGCTCACATGCCGCCCAGGATGGCGGAGGAAGAAAGTTGGCTGCGGCACTAATGAAGGGGGCTCTACGGCTGTTCTGCCTTCCCAGACATGCTGTCCTGCTGCGAGGGAAGCACAGCGTGTTATCTCGAGAGCTGATCAAACAAATGGGGTAGAAAATGGCTTTTTGTCAAACAAAGGCTTTTGTAGAAGTCACTTTCAATTATTTTCCCCTTTTTTGATAGAAAAACCTGAAACCAAACATTGGTTAAAATGTTTTGGGTTTTGTTTTAAAAAATTACCAAAAACTTTAACCAAAACTGTCTTGTGTCAACCTTCCCATTCTCTCCCCCCCCCCTTTTTTTTTAAAAAAGGGAAATTTTAACTAACAAAAAATATTTTTAGTTTTCCTGTGAAGAAAAATTGGCATTTTTGGTAAATCCCCAGAGAGGACTAACCACGTGAGAACTCCAAGGAGAATCATCAGTGCTCATAGAAAGACAGCAGATCTGTGCCATTCCCTGGTAACTCTGTACTCAACTTTAGTGGCCTGCTTCATTCTCCTCTTGCTCTTGCATTAAGATGCATATTTTTGTGGTGCATTTGGAGGGAAACAATGGATTTATGAGAGCAAAAAGTCACAACTATGACCCTCATCCCCACCATCATCCTGCTCTTCAGCTGGGATTTCATGAGAGGGATCCCTTGCATTTCTCCTCCTGTCTCCCCCCCCCCCCCCCGAAGTTATAAATTGTAGATTTGTGATAAGGGACTTCTTGCATCAGCTTGCTCCTAGCTGTGTTCCCATCATTGGATATTGGATTCCCTTCTGTTCTGACCTCCTAGTATCATGTCCCCAGCTGCCATCCTACTGGTGTGTGAGTGAGATGCCCCAGCCACCCTGTGAAAGTAACAGCAGGTGGTGAAAGGGGCCATGTCTAGGGTAACAGAAAAGAGGTTGCTGGACTATAGAACTACAGAGTAAATGAGATAGTAACAAAGCTATAAGGGGGTGTGCAATTGGGCCAAATGCAGCATCCGTGCCCAGTGTCGGATCAGTGGCCGGTCTGGAATCCTGTTGACTCAGTAAATGTAACCAAAAAGGAACTGTGTTTCTCAGAGGCCAAAATTCAGTCACTCTATGAAAGGGGAAGTGGGGGACAGGAAATGTGATTAAAGTCAGGAAACAGAGCAGCTGATAGTCGCCTGTGTGTTTCAGGTCTTCCCCACTGTTTCAGTTGAAACCCTGTGATCATCACATTGCGCATCTTGAGTTTTTGTCGCTAGGAAAGTTAGTGTCTGATCAATATCTGAAAGTTCAGATGCTTGGTCTGGGGAAAACCAGTGAAGACAGAGGAGGGTAGGAGGAGTGAGGCACTCAGATATCTTGGTGATGAGCCTGGTATAAGAATTTAGCCAACAGATTACATAGACAAGCCAGATCCCTGTTTTGTTGGATTGTCCCAGCATCTCTGCCAGTTATGCTGGAACTGCTGATTGGGTCCTATCTCAATAGTTCAGCTGCCCTTGCTCCTTGCATGCTCTGGGATTCAAACTTTACTTTTGAACACAGCATAGAGAAGCTCCAGGACCCCGAAAGAGATGGCTGGCCCCCAAAGTCATGATAAAATAAGGGAATGAGCCCTGGAGGCTGCTGTGGGGAGGAAGTGTTGAAGCAAAGCAGAAAAATTCAGTTGACATCATGACAAAATGGGCATTTACTGCAAGTGAGGTACTGAGACTCACTGTGACACATGTGGAATCTCCTATATCAAGACTAGAAAATCCAGCTAATACTACAATATATCAGCCTGCTCCAGCTGGGAAATGTTCACTGTCTTTTAGTCATGCTTCCTGTTCTTAGTAAGAGTGGGGTGAGGTCACCAGCAGATCCCAGCCCCAGTGTCACTCCCCGAACCTCCCAGGTTTTCTGAGCTGCCAAACCTGCCTGCATTTCCACTAGCTGCCAGCGCTCTCCCAGGGCTTTTCTTTATGCACTTGGTTTGGCACCATCAAATTGCACAAGAGGTAATCTCTGTAACTGCTTTGTCTTGCCATCACCCTCATTCTCCTTCCCCTTCCCACCTACTGTCACACTCACGGTGTCTTGTTTCAAATTAGACTGTAGGCCAGTGTTTCCCAAAGGGTGGGTCCCAGGAAGGTCACTACATCCAGGGCCTGATTAAACCATCCCTGGGCCCTGCCTTAGGCAAACATTCACTTCTCCCAGCCCGGTGTGGAGGGAAGGTGCCGGGGTGAGGGTGGTGGGGAGCAAGTTGAAGAGCAAGTCTGCCCTGCACTCACCCTGCGTTGGCACCTCCTAATACAAGACCTAGAATAGGGGAGCTGGGCCCAGCCCCACAGGACTGGAGCTGCTGCTGTGGGGTGATCTCAGTCTCCAACCCATCCCCCAGAGCCTTCCCTATGTACCGAACTAGGATTAGGGACAGAGGCTGCATATATGCAGTGGTGGGTCATAAAAAAAGATAAAACACAGTTTGTGGGTTGTCTTAGTGAACAGTTTGGGAACCGCAGGTCTGCGCTCCTCAGGGTTGGTGTGGGTTCGTACAGCACCCAGCACAATGGAGCCTTGGCCCTCTCAGAGCTACCGCAATATAAATAGTGGGTCAGATCCTCAGTGGCACTGCTGCTTTGACTTCAACAGAGCCACAGTGGTTTATCCAACTGAGGATCTGGCTTAATACAACCCAGGACAAGTTCCCATGTGGACTTCTGTGTGACTCACTTAGCTGCTCTGTGCTCCAGTTCCCTCCTCTGTGATGCACAGAAGATAGTTACCTGCCTCGCTTGGCTGCTGGGAGGCTTAATTCGTGTTTTGCAAAGAGCTATGAGAAGGGCTACATGTGGCTTCACTGTCATTCCTGGTGCACGGCCCCCTGCTGGCACCCCAACTCCAACCACCCTATTGCTAAGCCCTTCCCCACAACCTCTACAGTTAGAAAAATTACAATATAGTGACGTGGTTTTGTGTGCTAACATCTGGTCCCTTCCTACCCCTTCTCTAACGTGCCCCACCCTTCTCCCTATTCCCCCATCAGTCTTCTGTCTTCCTCCCCCAAGTCCCACTTTCTACCTTAGATTGCTATATGGCACCGTGTCCGGAGTATCTGAGCACCTATTGGTCTTTACAGCACCCCTGAGTGATGGAGAATAGGGCCTGGATCCACAACAGGACTTAGGCATTGTGATGGTCAGCACTGGGGCACTGAGAACCTCACAGGAATGACACTGCAATCCACAAAGCTGCTAGGCCCTCAGGCTCCCTCTTCAATGCACAGGGAGAGACAGGCATCTAAGAATGGGATCTACAAAAGCCAGTACACTAGGTAGGGAGCTATCTCAGCCAATCAGTGGGGGATGCCAACAACAGGGGCGTGTGCTAAACTCTGCCCTCCCCTGGAGTTTGGCACCTAGGCTGGGCTGTAGGTAGGTGCCTGTTGTCACAGCTTCCCCCTGGGATGCCACCTGGAACTGGGGTACCACTGAGCCCTCTGACTCACCAGCCTGGGCTCCCTCTCACACTGTGCTGCTCTCACAAGCTACAGACTGCTCCTGTTCCTAACTCCCTCCAGTATTCTCACAGGTAGGGACACACCCAGCTGCAGTTACATGCAGGCTCTCTGACCAGCCACTGCATGAACCAACAATAGAGAGGCTACAGCCAAAATAACTGCCAGCTTCCCAGCCTAGGATTCCCCCCCACCCCGCACTGGAGTATAAACCCAAAATTATACCGTCTTGCATTGCACAGGGAACTGTACAACATAAGCTCATAGAGTTCGCCCCTCCCTCAATGCGGAGAGGAAATGCAACAGCCCCCTGAGCTAAGATTCCCAAACACTTTGCTCCAAACTTACTGGTTTAGATTAAAGCATACAATAAGTTTATTAATTACAAAAAGATAGATTTTAAGTAATTATAAGTGATAGCAAATAAATCAAAGCAGATTACCTAGTAAATTAAAGAAACACAAACTCAGCCTAAGATACTAGAAAGATAGGATATGAATTAGCAAATTCTCACCCTGGCAGGCTACAGATTATTAAGGCACAAGCTACACTTGCTTTGCAGCTTGGAATCCCCAGGTTTTCTTACACAGGCTAGAAATCCCTTTAGCCTGAGTC